CGAAAAAAAAACAAAGTGGGCCGAAGAAAAAGGTTTCCAAATTTTAAAATTTTGACTCAATCATTGTAAAATTGGTTTCGATCCAGTGGAAACGTCACATATCACTGCATCAAAGTAAGAAACAAAAAAATTAAATCAGAGCCTTTTCTTGTCCCCTGTCTTCATAGTTTTCTGCTATCCACCTTCCGGCATGGCAACAAACATCTTTGCCCATTTTCGGCATGTTGACCGCTGTCAAAAGGCAGCAAACTTTCCTGTGTTTTTTTTTTCGAAAATCAGACAAAAGTCAATGCGCGCGCTGATGTCATCCATAAAATTACTTGCTGTGGCTTTACCACTGATTCTTCTACCGGGAACCATATAGAGCTACTGTAATAGAGCTTGAGCTACAGATATTTGGAAGACTGGTTCGACTTTTCACTTTGTTTCTAATTCTAGATCTGTGACAACGGTATCGTCAGCTTTGATCGCATCAACCGCCCGCGGAATCCAGTACTGATACAGAACACTTTCGGCTTTCGCAAAGCCGCCGTTCTGGTACCCTTCCTGGCCAGGTACAAATGCGTCGCGTAAGTAAACAAAGACACACAAGCAACCAAACAAACAAACAAAACAAAACAAACGATGGTAACCATGATATACAGAACATAATACATGCATGAGAACAGTGTAGTAGCCCATTCACACTAATACTCGTAGTATGTAAACGAACTTTTTTTCTTTAGGGCTGAACTTTCCAACACTGAAGGTTTGGATCAAATTCGCAATGACTTATAGTAACACAGGTGAACGTTTAGGCTGATATAAAAGTTTATAAAACAATTAAGAAACATAGAATCGCCGTGAAACATTACACGCATTTTTATTGTGCTTTAAGGTTCTGGATAATCATCATAATTATGAGAGGGCAAGTATGATCTAGTTTTTAGACTATAGATGTCATGTTCCCTTATAAGTCTCTATAGTCTTATTAAGAATGAGACAAAAAGAAGGCTACTCTTTTAACTGAGGGGTCGTAATAAAGTACAAGTATTTACAGTTCTGGATAACCTTCCTGAAGACGAGAGGACGAAAATCTACTACAGCTTCTACGAGAGAGGTGACGGGAAGAACGCCACAGACGAGGTACTGGAGAGGGCAAGGGAGGACGGGAGATCGATCCCATTGTACTTCTCTCCAAGTGAGTAACAACGGTCATGATCATGACGATCAGTAAAACGTCTTTGTGGCAATATGTGACAAAGGTAAAAATAATATATTTTGCTATTTGAAGGAACATGCACTATGCCTGAAAACAAAATCGAAACGAGAAGCACGTCCTTTCCAAATGGCTACAAAAAGATGGCTAAATACCAGAGCGAAGGAACAACATTCGTGCTGGACCATACTTTGTGTACATCATGGTCTTTGATTACATGTACACACTCTAGACAAAGCTTTTAAGCTTTTAAAGTGTTAACTATGCTTTTCGCCATCGGTTACATACTTATTTGTTTCCAGCCTATGAACCAGTGTGGGCGCTTGTAGTGACTTGGACCAGGGTTCCCCCTGACTGCGGCATGTATGCCGGCGGGGTGTGTCCGCGACCACACGACCAACTCCCGGTAAGTCCTGCAGCAGGGTCAGTTTTTCCTCCTCCTTTCTTAGCAACATGCCATTGTCCACCACACTAAGATTTGTTGCTTTGCGCCCACTCCGTCCGCAACCCATCTGCAAGGTCCTACTCAACTATCCTCATCCTTCAAGTCATTGCCACCTCTCCCGTCCCCGGTTTCCTCTGCTAGGCATCAGCTCAGTGCCACCCTGGGAAGCCATAGCTCGCTGTTTGTCCCAGGCAACGCATTGTGGCTCTTTGCATACGCTGGAGATCTTAGCCTAGTCATTCTTATAACGTGTCCCAGCCGTCGCAATCCAGCTCTTTGCACAAGCACAGAAATTATGGCGATGAAGTCACTTGACAGATTGATAGGGTTAGCTGGCAGGCATTCCTTCAAAATACATATTGTCGAATACAAAGCAATATTTGAAAACATAGAACGAACTCCATCACATAGCGCTTGTAAAAGAGTACATTGCCATATAATCAACACCCTTATGAATATTGACAGAGTAATTTATATGAATTATCAGCACGTTACCGATATTTTCAGGTAAATGATTTCCAACTGGCCATATCGACCAACGGGACCCACTCCTACGCTACGTTTGTATATCCCGCAAGGAAACAAGAGTGGGTAAGCACAGGTAAGAACTTCAACTATCTATATTCATGTATGCCCTGTAATCTGCCTATCATTAAATTGACCAAATTGATCTTGCTGCATCAGCAAAATAATGTGTATAGAAATTATTGCGCAACATACAGAAACAATGTATTTTTCTCTAGTCAGTAGTCATACACATGTATCACAAACTGAACATCAACACCTATGCAAAACTGTGAAATTTACATTGCAGATGAAGCAAGGGAAGGAGGAACGCGTAAGTGTCCGAAGGCTGGTGGCACCATAGCTGTGGGGGGTTACAGTGCAGGAGACGGGACGGGTCCTTACCCTTACACCCCTGCCACTAACTCCAGTCTGGTGTACAGCGGTAGGGACTTCTCCGGACAAGACTGCACCAGGCAGAGACTTTCTCCCGCGACGGAGGTGTCCATGAGGTATCTGTATCAGGTATACGGAGGTGAGTTACAGGTTTCGACAGCATACAGCACAAATTATATTTCTAGTGCATTTTGCGGAGAGTTTGATGTACATTGGATTCTTTTTCAGATTTGCTTTTAGGGAAAATGCATTAATATTTCGTTTTTTTTTCAGGTTTTGAGTTCGGTTCAATTCATGTGTTTTGTGAACCAGATGTTTTGCAAAACATAAGATACCAAGCTGGACTTCATACGGACGCTTCATTGCATTACTGTCATTGAAGGGGGGGGGCACTGTAACCAGACTGACCACTTCAAATTGGAGTTCAAAATGGTCTCTCCACATGCCTGAGGAAGTAAATAATGCGATGAGGCGAGAATTACATGTTATTCCACACTGAAATATACTTCACAAAACTCTAAATACATTTTTTTCGGTTTCTTTTTTTTATGCACAGGAAACTGGAAGTTCGCCCTCCAGCCCCAGGAGGACACAGCAGTACCGGAGTCAGCGGTGGTGGAGTGTTCACGGTGGATGAGAGAACAGATAGTGGAGGATCCTACTCAGCTGCTCGGCTACAGTGCCTTACCTCCCGTCTTCTCCTGTCCCTGTTCCGCAGAGCAGGCGTTCTATGATCCAACGTGAGTACAATGTCATCGATGACCAGTACAAGATTATCAGCTTGTCTGATGTTATTCATATTTACCTCCGACTGTCTAAAAACACAAATATGTCAAGCGCTTGAATCTTTCCTTAGTTCTGTAATAATCTAGCACCAATGAGGTTCAATACAAGATCCTCCTTGGTCCTAACTATGCATTATGTACAAAATGACTGATAAACTACCCAATACCTAATACCAGTTCAGAACAAGATATTGCCATGTCTATACCAACGATTGATTTGTTAAAAAAAAACTTTTCTAGAATTATCGCAGAGTGGAACTCGCTGTCACCAAGTACAGGGGCATAATCATTACACGTGTTGTGTAGAGTGCAGTGATGTTTGTAATGTCTTATGTAAGAGTACTCACATGACATCGGCTTCCGGATTCAAAGCACGCCTCTGAAATTTGCACGAATTTAATAGAATTAGAGATATATTTTAAAGATTAGATGTTACAAGTCGTTCGGTGTAATGTAGCCAGCTGCCGCCGCGCTGCGTACCTGCTAAGTTTATGTGGCTGTTATACTGGCTATACGGATCCGGATACAGATCATACTTAACAGTAGCTTATGCATGACTATAGGAGTCATGATCAGCAGCCATTTTATTGGGTCAGCTATCATTGCTCAAGACCTTTATTTTTCATTAAAGCATAATAAAAGCATAAAAATGGAAAGAAAAGCACATGACAACAATGGCGACGTACTCAAGTAAATCAAACTTCAAGCACCACCATCAAACATAAAGATAATCAACATTGATTTAATACTACACCTATGTAAACACACAATATGGTGTAAAAGTGCTTTGACCCCATTTTTGTCATCGTCTGTCTCCAAAGAAAATGGCATCGCACCATACACGGGGCAAGTTCTCAAATATAGTCATTCTTATGACTTCGTTTTACTCTGTGCAGGTACACGGTAGATAGCTCTCAGTTCGGCCAGTCTCGGTTCTGCGCCCGGAGCAGGCGGCGGGTCCACACGCTGGTCGGCGCGGAGAAACTCATTATGTCTCGGTCCTGCTGCTACTCCACGGCGTACTGGTGGAGACAGTGGGGGAGGATAGAGCGTTTTAGACGGCGCCGGCTTGGACGGAACAGGATAGGCGGGGGGACGCTTCTGACGGGCCATGCCGGTGGTCATCTTATTATTGTAATTACTAGTAAGGTTTATTTCATGGTAGCCATACAATACTTGGGTGTTGGAGGCAAAATGGTAGCCGAGGTTTATATGGCTACCATTAGACGACACTAGTTATGTCTATAAGGTCAAAAACTGTTAACTGTCAGTACGTAACATGATTGACACTAGACTTACGGGTTGGATCAGATAGACTGTGACGCCCCCGTATTTGATTAGAAATACAGTTGTAATACTGGTGATAATATATAAAAATTTAATACTTGAGATAATACATTCGGATGTAATACTGGAGCAGTCCAATTCTTACAGCGTCGGATAAAAAGTGATGTTCATTTATACAATGATATCTTATTACCAAACAAATATGAACTTTTACAGAATCATCGCTAATACCATGCCCTTACATTTTACAGAACGACCAGGCTGATGATGAGGCTGCCTACCAGTCCTGCTGTGTTGGCGCCTCCGGCACGAGGGACGGCTGGTACTGTCAGAGGTTCCAAACTCTGCGGCCACTGACCGCGCCGTCTGCTCCAGGGTGTCAAAACTACCCCGTACACATTGGTGGGTGCATTCAAATGTACATATTACAATAGATAATAATTTTTTATATGTGAAACTTGACATAAATTTAGTCTGCTATCCTGGTATCCGACGAGACGTCTAGTAAGGGACATCTGGCACCCGCTACACAGACACCTGGCACTCGCTACACAAACACCTGGTACCCGCTACACGGACACCTGGCATCCGCTACACGGACACCTGGCACCCGCTACACGGACACCTGGCACTCGCTACACAAACACCTGGTACCCGCTACACGGACACCTGGCACTCGCTACACAAACACCTGGTACCCGCTACACGGACACCTGGCACTCGCTACACAAACACCTGGTACCCGCTACACGGACACCTGGCATCCGCTACACGGACACCTGGCACCCGCTACACGGACACCTGACATCCGCTACACGGGCACCTGGCACCCGCTACACGGACACCTGGCATCCGCTACACGGACACCTGGCACCCGCTACACGGACACCTGACATTCGCTGCACGGAAACCTGGCACCCGCTACACGGAAACCTAGAGGCCGCCGCCGACTGAGCTTCGTCGCAGTTTCATGACGATCCCAGGCCTCAGCGGGCAGCAGGGTAGGACCGGAGGCCCTACAGATGGAGTTGTGGAAGTAGATACACCTAAGCAACGACAGGGCATGGTAAGGGCACTTGCGTAGTCCATTCAGCACCTGATGTAGGGATGGACCCACCTGCACGGACAAAGACCTCCGGGAGGCCAACGAAGGCCGTGTTTAAGTGAAGCCACCCAAGGCGCTTTACATGTGGTTTACCCCGAAGCCGGTTTCAAGTGGCTCCATCTGAACGCTCCAAATCACATTGAAAACGCCTCGATCCCAAACCACTTCTAGAGGTGGTTTCGAATCGGTTTTCCCGCATCGCGATTTGCGTCTGAACGCAATGTGATTTCAATGTAACTTCGCCTGGTCATGGATTACGGGGTGATATTTCTTTATTTAAATGCAATGCCAATTTTTACGTGGCAGCAACTTAAAGAGCAGTAATGGTTAAATAATGTGTCCGTTCTAGGGCGAGCTTCACTGCCTCTGGCGGGAACACGTCGGCATTCGGCCGAGATACGCTGGGAGGGGGGCACAAGCAAGCAGGTCGTTTTTTTTTTTTAATTCCAACATGTAATCACCAGACGTGGTGACGACACACTCAAGTTTTTTCAACTTATATTAATGTCGCCACCAAGCAGGTCGTTGACCTCTGGTATTAATAACACGCTACCTTGCGTGTTTTCATCAAACAACAATAAATGTAGCTCAAGCGAACTGTGATCGGACACGGTTTCAAATGATTGTGTGGCGCGTGGACCACATGTGAGGAATGTGAGTTACCCGAATCACGGTTTGAGTGACTTCACTTAAACACCGCCGAAATTGCAAGCAACTGGCTGGTGAGGCAAGGCGACATGCTATGATGATAATGATGATGAGTTTGTTAGTCATTATCAAAATGAAAATAAAGAACTGGGCACAGTCGTGACAACATGACTCTAAAGGGGGGTATGAACCTGATTGCAGTACATAGTTATGTATAAGGTCAAATATAATCAGACACCTCTTTTAGATGTAGCCTCCTTCGCAGAGTTCTGTTGCGGCATCGTTAATTATTTTCGGGGAGTCACGCGAGTTATGCTGCCGAAGGATTTATAGCCGAGTAATCCCTCGGCGGCAAAAACGTCCCGCGGCGTCATATAACTCGCGTTGCCTACCCCCCCCCC